CACGACTATGTTTATTGTAGCATTATTTACCATAGAGAAGATATGGAACCAACCCAGATGCCCCTCAGTAGATGAATGGATCAAGAAAATGTGGTATACACATATATATATTATATATATATATATATATATCACACATATACACACACACACACACACACTCACACGCAATGGAATTCTATTCCTCCATCATAATGACATTGCCCCATTTGTTAGGAAATAGAAAGACTTGGAAAAAATTATACTAAGTGAAGCAAGCCAGGCCCAAAGAAACATAGGTCCCATGGTTTCCCTTATTTGCAATAACTAGTATATATCTTAGACAAGCAGAAAAGGTCAGATAAGATCATGTTAAGTGAAATGAACCCCAAGATAAGGACACAAGTGGGTTTTTCTTTCTTGCTATTGTTTCTAATGTATTTATAAGGTAGCGCGATTTTTTTTTGTTGTTGCTTTGTACGTCCCTCCCCCATGGTCTAACTCCTGTTTTCAATGTATTTGATGTTGGTATAATTTGGGGAGTGGAAGGGAAAAAACAAATTGTTTAAATAGGGATACAGGTTAACCCATTGCAACAATGAGATGTACAAGACGCCATGTTGAAAAACCAACTTTACAATTTAGGCAAGTGAGGAATGTAGTTCTAGAGATGGGAAGGAAGGGATGGTAGGGGGAAAACAAAGGAGTAGGCAACAATGCTTGATAAGAAATGTACTCATTACCTTGCTCATGTGATTGGAACCCCTCTGTACAGTAGTTTCACAATAAAAACATTAAAAAAATATTTGGTGCTAGATGACATTCAGGGCCTCTCACCTAATGCTGGGTGTTCCATCACTCAGCTATAAACCCAGCCCTCTGATGTAATGATTCTATTAATATCTGTGGGGTTTTGTTATTATTGTATTTTTGTTGGTGGTTGTGGTAGAGTCCATGTTGGCTATGAACTTGTTAGCCATAGGCTCCCAAGTGGTGAGGATTACATGCATGTACTACCAGCCTTGTCTAGATATTTCAAATGTCTAGGTTATTATTCAGAAACATCAGTGTGTGTGTGCGCTGGTGCTGCAGCTTAAGATTACAGTTCTGCTGGAGAGGCTTGTGCTCTTGCTTAGCTTTCTTCACTCATGGCTTGTCCTCTATCATTTGAGGCACATCTCTACTCTTCACTTTTTTTTTGGTTGACTGTAGATAAATCCCAGATTATCTGCCCCAGATGGCTTTGATCCTCAGATCTCAGGCTCCTGAGTAGCTAGAATTATAGACGTGAGCCACAGGCACCTTGCCTTTTCATTTACTTTTGAAGCCTCTCATGTTATGCAAAACATATTAAATATATTTGCTTGCATTTTTTCAATAATCTGCCTTTAGCAATAGAGGCCAGGGGGTAGAAAAAAGATACTTTGCTCTCCTGCAGATTAGAGAATAAAATCCACGTGTTGTGAACCTGACAATCATGTATATCCATCTACCTTTTCAATCCTTGAATGCTGATTCTTAAGAAATAAAAACTCACCTTCTCAATTTGAGAGGTGAGAAAACTAAAAAGTTAAAAGTTGATTGCCCAAAGTCACAGAGTGAGGAATTAGCAGAGTTGAGATTTAGAAGTGGATAGTTAAGATTTGATGACAGTTTTTTTTTTTGTTTTACTTTTTGTTGGTCGTGGGGCTTGAACTCTGGGCCTGAGCGCTGTCCCTCAGCTCTTCAGCTCAAAGCGAGCACTCTACCACTTGAGCTACAGGGACACTTCCAAGAAGCGATAGTTAAGATTTGAAACTGGACAGTCTAATTTTGGAATTCATATTCTTACCCACCATGATATTTTGTTCCTTTTATTAGATAAAGAGGAAAAGTGAGCAGGCTCAATAGATGTCCCTTGTACAGGCCACTAGTGAACTGACTACCTCCAATTGTGTATACTATTCCAATACAATCCATTTTATAGTTACAAACATATTCTTTTGTTTCTGTTTCTCTAGAGAATTCTAGCTAATTTGCCTAGTGACACTGGATAACTGCAATAGATGTTGCTACATTGTGATAAACGAATCTGGCTTGCAAAATCATGAATTTGAAATACATTGTCCAAAAGGAAATGTATTCTTTGACTGACTTATGTAACTGTAACCTTTCTGTTTAACCAAGATTTTTTTAAATTAAAATGAGTATCATTGATGTCCTTTAATTTAGAAGTTTTTTAGAAACTTTTTCACTTTAACTTATTATTCAGAATAAGAATCTGTATATATATATATATATTTTTTTGGTCCGGTTTTGGGGCCTGAACTCTGGACCTGAGCACTGTCCCTCAGCTCTTCAGCTCAAAGCTAATGCCCTACCACTTGAGCCACAGCACCACTTCCGGCTTTTTTCTTTTTGCTTATGTGGTGCTGAGGAATTGAACCCAGGGCCTCATGCATGCAAGGCAAGCGCTCTACCACTGAGCCACCTTCCCAGCCCCAAGAATCTGTGTATTTCTAAATCATGTAGGACATGATTATAATTATATATGTCCATATATGATATATATACAGGATACCATGAGAGCCCAATTCAAGTTCATAATCTTAAGTAACAACCTAGAAAGTAGAAAAAAAAAGGACATGCTGAAATAGTAATATAAAATACTATGACATATTTCCTAGTAGATCTTGCCCAATCCCAGAAAGAAAAATAATGTTAATTTAAATCCACTTTTTATTCTTTCATTGATTTTAATAATTATATGCAACATTTAACATAAAGAGAGTGAAATTTCAAGAATAAGACTCAATATATATATATATATATACACATATATATGTATATATGTATATGACCTCTTCTAGTTTGTTCAGGATAGAAGGAAATTTCCAAAGGGTACAATGTATAAGATTTAACACTGGAAAAATACATACGAAACTTATTTAACTGGCTGCACTTAGGACCAGGCACAGCACAATCATACACTTTTTTAACTGCATAATCTTTTTAAAAGATTGCTATAATTTTAACACATTCTTATTAAAGAAATACTATCAGTGAACAATCTGAAATTCTATAACATATAGGTGAAGGAAAACTTAACAGTGAATATCTGAGCATCTTTTCTCTAGCATCTTCACACTCATACATCAACATTCTTCAAAGGAGTAAGAATTCACATCTCAAAATTAAGACAACAAAAAACAAAAACTTGGTCAACTAGTTTCTTCGGATCATTCATTATGATCAAACTCCCAGTTTGCTGGTAGGTTAACGCAATAATAGAAAGTTTTGGAACCTTTCTGATTTCTACTAGTCTTAGGGCATCTGAGTTGGAAGCAAACTGCTATGGCAGCACCATTAAGTCCAAATCTCAAGTCATTGCATAATCCTTATCGGTCAACATTGTTGAAAGATAAAAAAAAAGTTATATGGCAGAATATCTCCTGAATAGTAGACCACTGAGTGTAAAAACATGGATACTGCAAGCATTTACATAAAACTCCATCTGATTTGTACACTGACTTTATCTACCCTTAACAGACCAAAAGAAATGCATTATCTGAAAACTTAAATAACAAACTGAGGCATGAAATAAATAGTTTATTTATGCTATTACATATGCATATTGGAGATTGGTAGACACATTCATCCCTTCCTCTCCCTTAAAAGAAAGCAATGGTGCTAACACTATTGTTCAGGAAGAGTTCATGAGAAAGAGTTGTTCTCAGGGCTGTTCTGCAATGTGCCTTACTATGCAAATGCAGAAATTGCTTTTAAAACATATTCTTAAAAGACAGGATGAAATTCATCCTTTTGTTTTCAAATGACCTGGTTTCTATTATCAGTAGATGTTAAGAATTAATTCATCCCTATTACACAGAATGGAAACTATTATGCTGTTATGGCCATAGATATTTTGAGAAACCTGAGCTAGTGAATAAAAACCACATCAAAGTGATATTTTCTCCATTAGGTAAATTGATTGTTCAAAAATTCAGCAAGCCAAAAAACATGCAAACAAATGACTCAAGTCATTACTTAACAAAAACACAATACCACTCAGGCCCCAAGAATCACTTAGAGCCTAGCTGTTTTTTAAAAGATAACCAGCCATGGCTGGGTGCTGGCGGCTTAAAACTGTGAGCCAGGAAGCTGAGATCTGATGATCATGGTTTGAAGCCATCCCAGGCAGGAAAGTCTGTGACTCTTATCTCCATTTAGCTATACAAAAGGCAGACATAAAGGTGTTGCTCAAGTGGTAGATCATAAGCCCTAAAGACAAAAGCTCAAGGACAGCACCTAGGCCCTGCATTCAATCCCAGGACTTGTACTCAAAAAGAAAAAAGGCAATCAGCTTTTACTCACTACTACTGTGTTCCCTATGACATTTTCCTGCTCACCACACTGGAATATAACCTGATAGACTCCGGCTTCTAAGATGTTTGAGGAAAAGAATGAGGATATGATGTGCATTAAATAAATTGTTTGTTTGTTTGTTTTTTTGGGTCCGGTCATGGGGCTTGAACTCTGGGCCTGGGCGCTGTCCCTCAGCTCTTCAGCTCAAGGCTAGTGCTCTACCACTTGAGCCATAGTGCCACTTCTGGCTTTTTTCTTTTTTCTTATGTGGTGCTGAGGAATCAAACCCAGGGCTCTGGCATGCAAGGCATGTGGCTCTACCACTGAGCCACCTTCCCAGCCCCATGATGTGCATTAAATTTTTGATGATGGTTTCAAATGTAATATAAAAAAAAAAACTTCCTAGCAATGCAGTATTTAATAGTCTTTGACACAGAGTTATTTCTAATGAAATGAAATATACTTTCATAGTTCCCAACAGTTCCCCATAAATATTCCTGATTTATACTGAGGAAGTAATGCATAACTGGAACATTAATCATACATGTTTTTAAAAGTAAATATTTCCTGCAAGTCAGTGACTGAGCAAAGCTGCACATGCATAGAAACTGAGTCATTTCCCAATGTTCCTTTCAAAGGGCCTTCTATTCCAAATCCATTTCAAAGACACACATGCAGTAGGTTCTGTTTATAATTTAATGGAGATGAAGAAAAGGGCACATCTAGGAGAAGGAAGGTTGTCACTATACAAACAAGTTTACAGTATGTAGCTATTGTACGTCATATTTACTACGTTCACCACTTCAGATAAGGGATCAGGGAGCCCCTCAAACATTGGAACAAAGGAATGTTTGTTTTATATCAGACTTGCCAAATAAACAGCAAAACAACTTGTAACATACACAGGCACTAATCTCAAAGCTGCACAAAAAAGAAGCCAAGGGCTTGAGCTGAGGAATTTAGGAAAATATACACGTATGAACTTGCTGAGGAAGAAGAGGAAAGAAATCATCACAGTTCTAATCTTCCAGGCTACGGAATGCATTCTGCATGTCTTCAAGAAGTTGTGAATAGTCACTCTTGATCTTCATCTCTCCATCTTTCACTGGATCCTGAAAAAAAGACATTAGAAATTCAATTTGCCTTTGGAAAATCATTTCAGGGCATATCAACTTATTTATATCTAATATAAAATGAGATACACAGGCAGGAGTCAAAAGTACCTCCATTCTCCTTCACAGGTAGGAATGTATAAATGGAGTTAAGACCCAACTGTACAGAAAAGAAATTCCATTTTTATATTTTGCCTGCTAGCTATGTTCAATGACTAAGCCTCAATAACATGCAGGCAGCAGGTAAGTATGACTAACTGTATGGTCACTGAGAATTCACTTAGTCACAGCACAATTCAGTCAGTATTACTACATTCAGATGGAGAAGGAAAATCTGGAAAATAAAGCACCATACTTAAAATCCTTATGGAGGGCTGGGAATGTGGCTTAGTGGTGGAGTGCTTGCCTAGCATGTATGAAGCCCTGGGTTTGATTCCTCAGTACCACATAAACAGAAAAGGCCAGAATGGTATTGTGGCTCAAGTGGTACAGAGCTAGCCTTGAGCAAAAGAAGCTCAGGGATAGTGCACAGACCCTGAGTTCAAGCCCTACGACTAGCAAAAAAAAAAAAAAAAAAAATCCTTATGGAAAGCAACTTGAAAAATATGTATAAAAGAGACTGTAAAATGTTTAAGCTCTCTATGAAAATGCTGAAAATCAACTACAGAATTACAGAATCATGCACATCAATAATTGGAAAGGTAACTATCTAAGGATGAAAATGATTGCTTTCTAAAAAAAAAAAAAAAAAAGAAAATGATTGCTTTCTAGCCCAAGACAATGCTATAGAATATCGAATGACATTAAAAAATTTTTAGGATGTTAATTTGATACAAAAACCTCAATAGGAAAAAAAGATTTCAACTTAAAAATACACTACCAGGTATATTTCTTAATTTTTTTCCCTATGACTATGTAATTTTAAAGATAAAATTTAGGTCAAATTACACCTGATTTTTTTCACTCTCTATCACAAGCATTTCTTCATATCCTTGGATATTGTTTTTAAAACAGACATCAATACTTTCATATATTTTATCTTATAAATAATAAAAAATAACATAATAAACCACTATCTCTGTTTATATTTTAAATGACATTTTGAACTTCAAGAAATAACCTTTTACACATATACACATTAAAAAATATGTATTTATCTTGGGCTGGGAAGGTGGCTCAGTGGTAGAGTGCTTGCCTTGCACTCATGAGGCCATGGGTTCAATTCCTTAGCACCACAAAAATAAAAAAAAAAGCCAGAAGTGGTGCTGTGGCTCAAGTGGAAGAGCACTAGTCTTGAGCTGAAGAGCTGTGGGACAGTGCCCATGCCCAGAGTTCAAGCCCCACAACCAATGCCCCTCCCTCCCCCAAATATATATATAGGTAGGTAGGTAGATAGATATCTAGATAGATAGGTTGGAGTGTTCAGTTGAGTAGTAGAATACTTGCCTAGTATGCACAGGCAATTCCCACAACCATTAAAAAAAATCTGCTCATACATCTCACGGTGAAATGACAAGACTCAAAGGTTAGGAATACTTAAAAATTTTTGAAACTATTTGAACAGATTTGTATTTTCAATCTAAAGAGTGAGTAAGCACACATACTATCCATATAAATTATTTTTAAAAATTTACACTTTACACTATATAATACACATTCAGAGAATCACTTTTCAATAGGTGACTAATAAATATACCTGATGTCATAAACTGTAAACAATGAAATCAACCCAACTGATTAAATATCTTAAAAATATGTGTGTGTGTGTGTGTGTGTGTGCGCGCGCGTGCGTGTGTGCGTGTATATTGGGGTGAACTCTGGGACTCAAGTTTGTAAACCATGCTTCCAGTCCAGCATTTTGCAGGTTAACTGGAAATACGTCTTTTAGACTCTTCTGTCTGGCCTGGCTTCAAACCCCCATCTTGTAATCTAAGCTTCCTGAGCAACTAGAATCAGGCTTGAGCCACCAATGCCCAACAGCCAATTTTTCAGCAGTCTCATATATGTAATTTCACTTTATTTACTTTTCTTGGATATTTACAAGATAGTGAAAGATCATAAAAATGTTAAAAATAATGTACATCAGGTGGTTGTTTAAAAGAAGTAAACAGAACAGACATCATTACAGAAGAATGCGGGCGCTATCATATTAGCATGTGAAGTAATTACTGTTCAGCAATGAACTTAGCTCTAAATTGCCTATGCTAGCACAAAAGAAAAAAATCATCAGCACTTATTTCAGACATGACATACTACAATTTTTATCATTGGAATTGTTTTTTTCCATTTTTAAAAATTAATTTTTAGCTGGGAAGGTAGCTCAGTGGTAGAGTGCTTGCCTTGCGTGCATAAGGCCCTGGGCTTGATTCCTCAGCACCACATAAGCAGAAAAAGTCAGAAGTGGCACTGTGGCTCAAGTGGTAGAGCACTCGCCTTGAATTGAAGAGCTGAAGGACAGTGCGTAGGCCTAGAGTTCAAGCCCCACAACCGACAAAATAAATAAATAAATATCGATCAATAAGTACATAATTAGTTTTTATTAACTTTAAATAGCTACAGCAAGAGGTTTCTCAACTTAATGTCAATTTTTGTGTATAATGACATCACTTCCAGAATTCTTTGCCTTCATCTAACTTTACCCATTGCCTCAAATTTCCAAGTTCCATTTTCACATATGTACATTGAGTACTATGACTGCATTTGTCTACCACTCCTCTCCCCATTCATCTGCCTTTTACCTCTTAATCCCCAGCTGTCTCAGCTTCATTTTGTTACTGTTAATTTTTCAAAGGAGTTATACATGGAAATCCACCCCCACATATACTATACTGAAACTAACTTTGAGGCCTATTCTGGGTTCATACAACTTGAGCACATGTGAAAATAAACAAATTTTATACCCCAGGTTTGGGATGAAAGAAAAGGAAAGAAGGGGAAGTAAGATGAGAAGAAGAGAAGAGAGGAGAGAAGAGGAGAGGAGAGAAGAAAAAGAGGAGAGGAGAAGACAGAAGAGGAGAGAAGAAGAGAGAAGAGGAGAGGAGAGGAGAGAACAAACAGGAGAGGAGAGAAGAGGAGAGGAGAGGAGAGAACAAACAGGAGAGGAGAGAAGAGGAGAGAAGAGGAGAGGAGAGGAGAGGAGGAGAGGAGAGGAGAAGAGAGAAGAGGAGAGAAGAAGAGAGAACAGGAGAGCAGAGGAGAGGAGAGGAGATGAGAGGAGAGGAGAGGAGTGGAGGAGAGGAGAGGAGAGGAGAGGAAAGGAGAGGAGAGGAGAGGAAAAGAGAGGAGAGAAGAGAAGAGAAGTAGAGAGAAGGAAGGGAAGGGAGGAGAGGGAGGAGAAAGTAGGGAGATTAACAAAAAAAAAGTCACAGTAGAAAAATCTACCTTGAATTTCATGGAGGAAAGTTTATAGAGGATCTCTCCCATGTGCTCACGGATAATGGACCATGTGATTTTGTTGTCACTCTGGGCAGTGGTTTCAACAGCTCTTCGGGCCATATCATAAAATGCAATCATGTTGGACAGCATCCCTACCGTCTTATAGAATGGGCAGAACCTAAAACAAATGAAGATCAGATCAATTAACAAAAATAATCTCCAACTGCAAAGTGAAAACAGTTGCATTATATAAAACTGTAGCTACAAACTATCTGGGCACTAGCTTCTCTATTTAAATATACAAACTGCTTTTATTTATGGAATGATACACAAAGAAGAAAAAAGAACAGTAGAAAACAGAAAAAACTACTTAAGTTTTGGGACAGACATAGATGTAGAGAAGCATACTATTTATTTTGAAGGTAATGACTATTTTTCCTCTGTTAAATCCATGAAACAAGAGGAACAGGATTGTTTTTGTTTTAAACAATGCAGTTAACTAATAACTTGAGTGGTAAAATAACTGAACTGTAAAGATCCCTTGTGATCCTAGGTTAAAGCTTAACGAACAACTGGAAAGCAAGAAACTGCAGAATTTTAAAGTTAATAGTGGCACATTTTACATTTTACTTAATTTATTTTATTTTGTGCTAGTTCTGGGGCCTGACCTCAGGGCCTAGGCACTGCTTTACTACTTGCGTCGCAGCTCTATTTCCCACTTTTCTGGTGTTTAATTGGAGAAAGGATCTTGCTGCCCAGGCCAGCTTCAAACCATGATCCTCAGATCTCAGTCTCTGAGTAGCTAGCATTATAGGCATGAGTCATCAGTCCCCAGCCTCCTTTTGTTTAATGTGCTCATTTCCACTTATCCATACCTTTTAACAAAGACATATATGAGCAAACAGTGAGTTTTATATACACCCCTGTTATATACCAATTTTTCCCTTGATAACTCATCTTTATGTGGGAGTTTCAGTACCACTCCAAATATAGCGGAGTTCTGAGGCTTACCAACATATTCACATATTGTTTGCTTGCCTCACATTCTGGTTAGTCTATTTTCTCTCTTCTTTTCAGTTCTTAGATGATGTAAAAAATGACTTGAGGGAAAAAAGCTAATGTAAGATGAAAGGCTCAAATTCCCATTTAAAGGAAATGGGAACTATTTACAAGACATAGTTCATAGCATACCCAACAAGGACATTTAGAAAGAGACATGACTCTCGAGAAATGAGTCAGAAAAGCTGAACATAATTATTTAAGCAAGAAATAAAAGACATGGGCAATGGAAAGAAATAGCAAAAAAAGCTTTTTGAGGCAGGTAGTGATCACCATCCAGACTCTGAAAACAAAGCTATAATTTACTCTAATTATAGATGATTGTATGTGTGAAGATAGCCATAACATAATAAATAAGCAAATCAAGACTAGGGGACATTTTAGATACAAAATAAGCCAATATAGAGTTAGGGCATGTTTGAAAAAGTTCTTAATGTATAGGCAGCTACTTTGTTAAAACACAACCAAAAAAATACTCAAATAAAAAGTGAAAAGCAACATAGCTTACCTGTCATAGGGTGTATATCCATTTTGTTGTAGAAAGTCATCTTTGATAAGTTTTGCTACCTCCAAGGTGATTTTATCTGTTTCTGCTAAGGAAGCCTAGGATAGAAAAAATGTATTTTTATAAATATACTCCATGATAAGAGACCAATGGTGACAACTATTCAATCATCTATTCAGCAAGGTAAAATTATATAATCAACACAAAATTACCAATAAAATAACTTTATAACTTCTTTTTGACTATTCTTTGTGTGTGTGTGTGTGTGTGTGTGTGTGTGTGCACACACACGTGCGATACTGGGGGTTAAAACTCAGGGTTAGGGTACTATCTCTCAATTTTTTTTTTTTTTGTCAGTTGTGGGGCTTGAACTCAGGGCTTGGGTGCTTTCCCTGCGCTCTTCAGCTCAAGGCAAGCGCTCTACCACTTGAGTATCTCTCAATTTTTGTGGTCAAGACTGGTACGCTACCTCGAGCCATTACTCTGCTTCCAGCTTTTTTTCCCATAGGCTAATTGGAGATAAGAGTCTCCTGGACTTTTCTGCCCATGATTATTTTAAACCATGATCCTCAGATCTTAGCCTCCTGAGTAGCTAGTAGAATAATAGGTGTTAGTCACTGGCTGATTGTTCCTTTTAAAATGCAGTAAAAAGTATGTAACAGGGACTCGGAATTGGCATAGTGGCAGAGTGCTTGCCTAGCATGCACAAAGCCCTGGGTTCGATTCCTCAGTACCATGTAAGCAGAAAAAAGCCAGAAGTGGCACTGTGGATCAAGTGGTAGAGTGCTAGCCTTGAGCACAGAGAAGCTCAGGGACAGAGCCCAGGCCTTAGGTTCAAGGCCCAGGACTGGCAAAAAAAAAAAAAAGTATGTAACATAAAATTTATCATTATAACAATTTGTAAGAATATAGCTCAGTAGAATTAAGTACATTCACACACTGTTGCCAAACATTTCAGAACTTTTCCTACTTGTAAATCTGAAACACTATGCTCATACACAGTGATTTCCTTTTCCCCCTTCCCTGCAGATATTGGTAGCCACCATCCTACTTTGTTTCTTTGACTTTTACTACTTTAGATACCTCATGTAAGTGTAAATACATAGTATTTATGTTTTTGTGACTGCCTCATTTCACTCAGCATAATGTCCTCAAGACTGATTTGTACTGTAGCAGTGCCAGGATTTTTTTTTCCTTTGAAAGGCTAACTAAGGCTGACTCATGTTTGTAAATACTAGCTACTCATGAGGCTGAGATTTGAGGATTGCAGTTTGAAGCCAGCTCAGGCAGAAAGTCTGTGAGACTCTCATCTTTAGCTAAGCAACAAAAAGCTGGAAGTAGAGCTGTGGCTCAAGTGGTAGAATGCTAGCTTTGAGCTAACAAGTTCAGGGACAGTGCCCAGGCACTGACTGAGTTTAAACCCTAGGATAACATTAAAAAAAAAATTGAACAAGGGCTGAACATGCTGACATATTCCTGTAATCCTAGTTGTGCAGGAAGGATACAGGTAAGAGGATTGCAATCCAAGGCAGGCCCTAGGTAAAAATGCAAGACCCTATCTAAAAAATAACTAAAGCAGGAAAGAGCTGAGGTCATGGCTCACTGGCCCTGAGTTCAAACTCCAGCACTTATCAAATAAACAAACAAAAAGGCTGAATAATATCCTACTGTTTGAATATGTGTATGTCCATCACTTGTAGATGTACAAACTGATAAGGTTCTTTAAAAAGATACTTTTTCACATCTTGGTTTGTTTTTGTTCTCAAGGCCAGCACTCTACCACTTGAGCGACAGCTCCATTTCTAGCTTAATTGAAGATAAAGTCACAAGAACTTTCCTGCCCTGGCTGGCTTCAAACCAGTCTTCAGATCTCAGCCTCCTGAGTAGCTAATAGAAGTGAGGCACCAAAGGTTGGCATTTTTTTTAATATGGCATGAATGATGAAATATATGTATATCATAGGTAAATATACTTACTTATACACAAGCTATAACTCTTACAACTACCCTTAAGAGATAATAGCACAGTTACTAGAATCACCAACCAAGAAAAAAATGTCAAATCCAGTTAATTACCTGCACTCTTATAAGTGTTCACCTATAATAAATCCAGGACCATGGATTTATTTTAAGTACTATGAATAACTAGACAATTAGTTTTTAAAAAATATTTGGTATTTATGTTTTCAAAAATTAAGCTTATTAAGTAAAAGTTTGCAAAACTCTGCACATTCATGGTTTAACTTGTCTTTTATAATGTTCTACTGTAACCTACAGGTTACTGTAACCTCCAGGACATTTAAAAACTCACCTTTCCCACAAGCTGTACAATTTCTGCCAGGTCTTCTTCTTCCTGCAGAATTTCCTTTGCTTTGGTCCTGAGAGGAACAAACTCTGTGAAGTGTTTGTCGTAGTACTCATCCAAGGCACGCATGTATTTGCTGTAGCTGATGAGCCAATTGACAGAGGGGAAATGCTTACGCTGAGCTAGTTTCTTATCTAAGCCCCAGAATACCTGATTAAAAAACAAACAAAATTGTTTTTCTTGAAAAGTTTTAAAAAGTATTGCAGTATATTTGTGGGCCCCACATGTGCAATTTTAAACTTAACCTTTTAATTTTTAAAAAATTAACTTTAGTTGTTGTACAAAGGGGTTTCAATCCAACATGTCAATTCATGAGTACAATGTACCTTGAAATTTTATTTTGTTTTATTTATAGTATAAGCCATATGTGATTCAAACAGAATACAAGGCTGGGAATGTGGGTTAATGGTAGAGTGCTTGCCTAGTATGCATGAAGCCCTGGGTTTGACTCCTCAGTACCACAATAAACAGAAAAAGCCAGAAGTGGTGCTGTGGCTCAAGTGATACAGCGCTAGCCTTGAGCAGAAACAGCTCAGGAACAGTGCCCAGACCCTGAGTTCAAGGCCTAGGACTGGTAAAAATAAAAATAAAAAATAGAATACAACTTGAATAAAATTTTAATTAAAAATTTAATCCTCATAGGACTTTAGGCATTCACACACAAATAATCAGACTAATGGAGGATACTCTTAAAAGAAGAATGCAAAGGTGTAATCTATCGGAACATTTAAAATACTATTTATTAAAACAAACTCCAGAAAATGGAAACATGATTTTTGTTATTGTTGGGGTGGTGTTTGTTTTCGCTTTGGAATTTTTTTCAGTTGGGGGGAGTTTAAGGAATGGGGTGCAGAAAGGGAGGGAAGAAAGGTGAAGAATGCAATCATGCTATTTTATACACTATGTGGAAATGGCTTATATAACTTGTGGGCAGGGATGGGAAGGGGAAACTGAGGAAAAGTAATGGGAGGGGTGATACTGTCCAAAAGAAAAAAGAAAGAATTCATTACCTGATTTATGAAATGGTAACCCCTCTATATAACACTTTAATAATATCGACTATCTTTTACAAAAAATTTATTGTAAAGATGCTGTAGAGGGGGATTACAGTTAGATAAGTAAGGCAATGAGTACATTACTTGTCAATCATCGATACCCCTTCCCTTGTTATTGTCCCACTATCCCTTCTCTCCCCTGCCTCCCACACTGCCCCCCCCCCACCTGAAGTCCATTTCCAATATACTGTCCTGTGGGTATCATGTTGTAATGAGTCACCCTGGGGCCTTGTTTCATCGTTTTGTTATTCCCTTTCCCCTCCCCAGATTAGATAAGCATATATACAAGATGCAAGGTACCAAAATCAAAATGTAACCTCTCATTTTCAGGGTAAGTAACACCTACAAATCAAATTCAAATTTTATCTTAATTTTCTTAGTGGCTGTCACATTGATAGTAAAAGAAAACGTGGCTATTTTAAGATTATTATAAGACAGTATACATAGAAGAACTAGAAAAACTTTTCTGAGATGGAACAGACATTTTAGTGTGTGATGAAACACCTCTAAAAGTTCTGATTAAATTCAGCTCTGATCATTAAGGACCAATCCAGGCCAAACATTAACAGATATAAATTTTAAGCATAGTTAACTCTGTTCCCCCTTTCCACGATTTAAAACTCAACATTTTAGCAAGTGTTAAAGACTTTAACAGCTTTAACAGTTGTAAATTCAGCCTTTGACATACCATTTGATACTGTTAGAAACATAGGTAAATATTCTGTCCCATAGGAATTGCATATGTGAGTATATACTAATGAGCATATCTTTTTTTTTAAGTATAGCTCTAATTCACACATATCTTTTATCAAAGCTTCTTATAATGGCCACATTAGCTAGCTATCCACTAAACGAATGTCTTGTCACAAGAAAGCAACTGCATAGGTAGAAACTACATTTCCTAGCCTTGCTATCATTTGGGTATAGATAAAAGAATGAGTAGAACGGTTGTCACTTTTGAGCCCCAGGTTCAAGGAGCGGATGTGCCTTCTGCATGCATGCCAGCCAGATGGAGACTGCCTGGCCAAGTGACAACGCAGCCACAGCATGGAAGGAGCCCTAAGCTTCAAAAATGACTAATTCAAAAGTCACTTTCTGATAATATTATCTGCTTTGGACCACGCTGTGAGTAGAAACCTCTAAATTTTTTGCTATAATACTGTAATGGGCATATCCACTTCTATTCTAGCTTAAATGGTAACACAATTCTAATCTTAATAAAAATGTGTTAGTTACCTGCCATGTATCACATTAACATGTCATATGACATGTTATATACACGTTAAGTTTATGGTACAGCCTGTTGAAGACCAAGGCAAAAAACAGAATATTACAAGCTCTCAGTGTTAATGATGTTCCTAAAATACACTTTGCCACTGCCTATTCTTTGGGCGTAAAATTAAGTATTTCATGATGATTTGGCTACTATTAGAACAGCTGGGAAGGCAGAGGGAGAAAGGCTCAGAAGATGACTATACAAGGGGCAGACATACCTGAACAATACCAAGAGTAGCAGATGTTACCGGATCTGAAAAATCACCACCAGGTGGAGAAACTCTAAACGAAAATAAAAACACATTAATTTAAAACACATGAAAATAGCTTACTAATATAAACATCTGAATTCAGAGCTTCATGCTTGTGAGGCAGGTACTATACTCTTGAGTTAAAGCCTGTCTTTTTTGCTTTAGTTATTTTTTAGATAGTGTCTCACTTTTTTTTTAACCTGGGGCTAGCCTCTTACTTCAGTCCTTCTACTTATGCCTCCTGTGTAGCAGGGTGTGCACCACCAAGCCTAGCAACGAGAAAAACGATAGGATACCTTCCAATATAATAAATAAGAAAAATTTTCTAAAGTATAATAAGCTTTATCAAGTAGATAAAGCATAATGGAAGGAAAAGCTCTAAGAACAAAGTATGAGCTTTATGCAGTGAATCTGTTTTTCCCATGACACAAATCTCACCTTAACATGTCTAACTTTGTAGGGTAGCCTAAGTGGTTCTGCTTAAAAACCACTGCTCCCGGATGAAGGTAAATATTTTCTCTTTAGGTAACTTGTTTCTTTTGATAAGTAAACTATATGAGCGGGATATATCAGTGCAAGCCTGTAATTCTATCATTCAGGAGGCAGAAGCAGGAGGATTGCAAGTCCCAGCCCAATCTGGGCTACCTGCAAGCTCCTATTTTCAGAAAAAAAGAATTATTTAAAGAGAGAAAAGTAAATGGTTTGAATGCTTACGCTCCTACAATGCTGACACTCCCTTCTCTCTCAGGATTTCCAAGACATTTCACTCTGCCTGCTCGTTCATAAAAAGAGGCCAACCGGGCACCAAGATATGCAGGATAGCCACTGTCTAAAAGAGGGAAAAAAAAATTTAAAGGGTGTCCTAAATAAGCTCCTAAAATACTATCAGTGGCTTATAAGATAAACAATACAAAGAAATACCTGCAGGCATTTCAGCTAGGCGACCAGAGATTTCTCTAAGGGCCTCAGCCCATCTAGAGGTAGAGTCAGCCATCATACTGACGTGGTAGCCCATGTCACGGAAATATTCTGATAGTGTAATTCCTAAATTGGGAAGAATATTGCAAGTTACACAATGTCAGAAATCCTTGAAAGATAAGTGTTTAACCTTAAGAAAACTTTAAAGCATAAGTGCAGGAGGTAGCCTGCTAGCTAGCCATTTTCCAAATCTCTTCTTTCTCCTCTTCTAAGCACACAGCTTAACACTACTTCCTAGTATTCACTATTTTAGATATGGCCATGTAACTAATCTCTAGCTAATGGAATGTAAGTAAAAAATAATTTCATGACAATGCAAGCAACACACCCTTCTATACTCTCTTTCTTCTAGACCACAAGATAGAGATAATCCCCAAAAGTAGTTGTTATTTTTGTTGTTGTTGTTGGTCATGGGACTTGAACTCTGGGTCTGGGCGCTGTCCCTCATCTCTTCAGCTCAAGATGAGTGCTCTAACGCTTGAGCCACAGCACCATTTCCGGTTTTCAGGTGGTTAATTGGAGATAAGAGTCTCATGGACTTTCCTACCTGGGCTGGCTTTGAACCATGATTCTGAGATCTCAAACTCCAGGATAGCTAGGATTAGAGGTGTGAGCCACTGGCGCCCAGCCCCAAAAGCTCTTGAAACCATGTGTTGAAAGCTTAAGAGCTCAGAATGAGAGAGTTGAGTTCCTTGACCATCTGAAATAAACATCTATTGTAGAGGACAATTACTTTGTTTAGAATTATTTGATGCTATAGCCTATAATACCCTAATATGAGTTTTAAAAACCAGGAAAACATTTGTTTGCAAGTCTTTGTTGAAATAATTAATTAAAATTAATTTCCAAGCATAGTTTGATTGCCTAGATATATATTTATACTCAAAAAAAATCAGCCAGAGCTGGGCGCCGGTGGCTCACGCCTGTAATCCTAGCTACTCAGGAGGCTGAGATCTGAGGATTGTTGTTCAAAGCCAGCCTAGACCCAGAGTTCAAGCCCCATGACACACACACACACACACTCAAGTGGTAGAGTGCTTGCCTTGAGCTGAAGAACTCAGGGACAGCACCTAGACGCAGAGTTCAAGCCCCATGACACACACACACACACACACACACACACACACACACACACACACACATTTGCTGCTCTGCTTAGTTGGCAGAATGGAGTATTAATTTTTAACTAAGGTCTAGATGTATAAGAAATAAAATGACAGTTGACGTAAACAGGTAAAAATCTAATTAAATTTCAACTGACTAAAAAAACAACATACACATCTTCCTTCAGTCCATTCTGTCTGTTTACCCAGTACTTCCTTAAATGTCTCATAGAACACTTAGTTCCACAAGATATTCTGCAAATAAAACTGGAAATTACTTCCAGTTGGATCTTCTTCCCAGTGTCATAATCAACATAGCATGAGACTCTCATAAAGATCCTAGACCAGTGAAGGAGCATAAAGTACCAATTTTGGCTGGGCACTGTTGGCTTATGCCTGTAACCCTAGCTACTCAGGAGGCTGAGATCTGAGAATCACAGTTCAATGCCAGCCTGGGCAGGAAAATTCTTGAGACTCTTATCTCTGATTAACTACCAGAAAACCAGATGTGGTACTGTGGCTCAAAGTGGTGGAGCTCTAGCCTTGACCAAAAAGAGGTCAGGGACAGCACCCAGGCCCGAGTTCAAGCCCCACAACTAACAACAATAACAAAAAAGCACCAATATGGCTCAATGTTTTCCAAATTGTTTGACTCTACAACCTTTCATAATTACTTATAGAACTAAGGTTTATATCTCTTGGAACTCACTGGTTTTAACAAATAGAACTATCAATATAGTCCTATTGTTCTCAAGCTACTTTTCTCCACTTGTTTCAATAACATTATAAAAAATTATTTTAAAAATATATATTTGTATTATATACACAAGGATGCATATGTATAATTTTAAGGAAGTGAAGGTTATTAATTCAGGTAAATCATAAGTTACCCAGTGCTTCTTGACCTCTTTGAATTTTACTTAAAAGTACTTTCTCTGTCTGTCTGTCTTTCTCTCTCACACACACAGTTGTTACTGATATAAATGTGAACATATAATCGTAATAATCAGCTACAGTTTTTAATAGGTGAATATATTAATTGAGCATAGCTTCTTGTTATAGAAGTAAGAAATGGGAGAGTAAAAAATTTTCCCTTCATCAAGATGTCTATTCCAAATGAAGAAACGAAATGGAAGAGAAAGGAGGATAGTGCATCAAGAAATCAGTGTATATCCTACAAAATTAAGAAAAATAAGGAAAGGGGTGGGTGGGTTGCCAGGGATAGGTGAGAATGCTGAAAGGGTGACATTGATCAAGATGTATTGTAGTCATAAACTGCTTTGGAGAATGGCAACTCCTTTAGACAACCACTTAAAGATTAAAAAAAATAATTAAAATATGTCTACTTACTCTTTCCTTAAACTAGAACTTTAATGACAGCAAATCACAGGCTCATAAAGTTTATAATATCTTCAGTTAAATTAAGAGTTGGGAAATGGAGAAAAAATGCAAGACAAATACCAAATCGCATCAGGTGCCACAGCCAGGATGTGTCCTTTACTTCGTGGCATTCGGTCGCTATGTGATGCTGCTGTTAGGTATGGTGTTAAACTGGAGACCCCAGAAGCAATAAACATGTTAACATTGGAGTCTGAATGTAGACTTGGGAAAATGCATGCAAACTGGAACGGTTTTTTTTTTTTTAGAAAGGATTACCTAAGTGCTCTGTGTTTATAGTAATTCAATCAAGTAGAAATGTACATGCAAAAAAACAAAGTCTAGCACTGGTAAAGATGTAATCTCTTTTGAAGGGTTATCAGAACTGAAAATCTGCATGAACACAGGAATCTACGTTAACATTAAAGGAATTTTAGTTATAAAAATGTGCAAAGTAAGAATCATTCAAAATATAGAAAAAGTGGTGTTAAAACCATGCATGAAGATGTTTTAATGATACATTGTTTGTGACAGCAAAAAACTGGAATCCAAGCATCCACCAAAGTGATTTTTGTATAGCTAAATCTATACAAAGGAACACTGTGCAGTCCTTTAAAAGAATAAGGTAAATTTCATATCTTAAAATGGTAGATGACTAAAGCACTTTCACCTTTTTATAAAAGTTATTCTCCAATGAGAACAAGAAACAAAGAAATATAAGCTCATTTGTCAACAACTGTGAGATAACTGGGTGCAGCTGGTACATGTTGTTAATCCCAGGTGGAAGCAGGAAGGTTCTGAATACACACAGAGACTTCATCTCAAAACACACAAAGCAACAAAAAACATGGAGGACACATTTAGCTACACTATAAAATAATGAGGAAAACCATTTAAATGATGAAAACCAAGCACTAAGAATTCATCTGAGTTAAGCCTCAAATCAGGCCTCTGTAAACTAGGAGACATATCTCAAGGAACAAAACCAAGGATCCTTTGTTTGGAACACTGGAAAGAACTAGACAGCTAGTGGTAAGGGTTCCTTGGACACAATCTGGCACCTAGGAGAACAGGGAGATGGAGGTGAACAAAACACAAGAAGGCACTCCCTGTTTTTAATACATGAAATGTGGGTGAGGTAAAGAGAAAGAATTCATTGTGAATAGCCTTACAGTTACTGACTTCTTTCAGCAAGAGACAAAGTATGTTGTAACAAACATCATGTTACCATGAATTCCTGCTACCATAAACAGTCATACACAGCCCCCTCTATCTTCTCAAAAATTAGTAAGAGTACTAATAAATCTCATTATAGGATATCAAAAAAAGGTTAAAATGACAGAGAAAGAACCTCTTCCAATGAACAGATGAAAATTGTGACCAGAGTTAATTTAAAAAAGAAAACCTAGAGTTGAGTGTGATGGCACACACCTATAATTCTACCACTTAAAAGGCTAAGGTAACTTCAAGGTAACTTGGATACACAGCAAAACTGTATCTCAACAACAATGACACCAACAACCACCACCCCTTAAGAATGTATCCTGCCATAAGATAAAATCTCAAAGAATATCCAGCAGGATAAAAAAAGAGATGTTTTCTAACTGGAACTCAACAAATGGCCAGAAAAAAATTAAGCTATTACAAAAACGAAGGCATCATTAGAAGCAACACAAAGAATAAACACCATTATCCTGTATATGGACAAAAGGCTAAGTAAAAAGGATTGAAGAGGGAGGACACATTTGGAAAGCAAATAAAAGAGATCCTATATGCACAATTGGCAGTTTAAAAGACAGCTAGAAGCTGGTGGCTTACACCTATAATCCTACCTACTCAGGAGGTAAGATCAATGGATCACAACTTGAAGCCAGCCCAGACCAAAAGGTCTGTGAGACTATTATCTCTAATTAACCACTCAAATACAATTCTTTTGAAATAAAAGACATAAAAGCCAGATGCTGGTGGCTTACACCTGTAATCCTAAACTATTCATGAGGCTAAAATTTGAAATCATAGTTTGAAACCAGGCAAGGCAGACAAATATGACAGCTGGAAGTGAAGGTGTGGCTGCCAATCTTGTATAAAAGCTAATAAACAAGAGCTCAAGGCCCTAGGATTGGAACAAACAAACACATTCATGGACTGAAAGAATACAATACATATCTTAGAAAAAATTTATCAAAATTGTCAGTGCTGAGATATATTCCAATCAAGACTTCAGTTAAAGAGAAATCCCTTTTGGCAAAAAGAAAAAAACCACTTCTACAAGGAAAAAAGGCTAGTGTTCAAGGGAAGAAATGGTGATCCAAGAATTTTTGTACTGAGCAACATTTGATAGGCATTATTGCCATTTCACTTCAGAAATGAAAGTACATTATTTTAGTACTATATAACCTAATAGACAATAAAGTCTATGAAAGTTCACATATATAAATGTTTTGCATATTTTTATCTTTTTCCTGAAAACCACTAGACCATATAGAAATACTGATTCAAGAATTTTATATTCAATCAAACTAATATTAAACTTAAAGGCAATAGAAGACCAAACTTACGAGGAAATAAAAAATCAAGGACATAATTTCCATGGACGTTTTTGGAAGAAACTTCCAAAAGGTAAATTTAGATAAACAAAAATAAATGGATAAACTGTAGTCAAAGCACTGTCGGCTAACATTAACTCTGTTTTATTGAAGGTCTACAGATAAATAAAATACTTGTTTATTATTTCAGAATAGAATATAAACAATAAATCCTGAAAACAGAAAAATTAAAGTACTGAAATCTGGGATAAGAGTGAAATAAAGCTGGAACACAAAGTATAAGCTCATTAATTTTCATATCTTTTATATCTACACTCAACATAATAGTAATTTAAAGCAAGTTATAGAAGTATAGGTATACTAAAAGGTAGAGCAGGGAGTAGAGCCGTGGCTCAAAGTGGTAGAGCACTAGCCTTGAGCAAAAGAGCTCAGGAACAGCACCCAGGTCCTAAGTTCAGACCCCACAACCAACAACCAAAATTAAGTTAAATTAAAAAGGTAGAACAATGGCAAAATACATAATATAGGAAAAGGTAGATATTCCATTTTATGATCATTAAGAAGATCAAGACAGCTTTATTCATAAATGTTATGCTTCTGTATTTGAGAGATACAGTAACTATTTCTTAAAAGCTAGGCATGTGATTCTATGGAAATACAATGTAAATGAAAGAGAAGTTCTTTGAAAAAGGATAATTTGGTGCTAGTGTTAATATTAAGAACAGATGTTGGGCTGGGAAGGTAGTAGAGAGCTTGCCTTGTATGCCTGAGGCCCTGAGTTTGATTCCTCAGCACCACATAAGCAAAAAGTAAAAAGCTGGAAGTGGTGCTGTGGCTCAAGTGGTAGAGCGCTAGCCTTGAGCTGAAGAGCTGAGGGACAACGCCTAGGCCCAGAGTTCAGGCCCCACGACTGGACCAAAAAACAAAACAAACAACAACAAAAAAAAACAGATGTTACCTGTTTTTATTCTAATTCATAACTTACCAGTATAAATAGAGGCTTCTCTAGCAGCAACAGGCATGTTGGAGGTATTAGCCACCAATGCTGTCCTTTTCATGATGGACTCCACCTTCCCATCAACTTCCATAGTGAGCTAGGGGTAAAGAAATACATTAATGAAGCTGGGTGCCGGTGGCATAAGCCTGTAATCCTAGCCACTCAGGAGGCTGAGATCTGAGGATCACAGTTCAAAACAAGCCCTGGTAGGAAAGTCCATGAGACTCTTATGTCCAATAAACCACCAGAAAACTGGAAGAGGTACTGTGGCTCAAGTGGTAGAGCGCTAGCCTTGGGTTGTAGAGCTGAGGGACAGTGCCCAGGCCTAGAGTTCAAGCCCCACAACCGGAAAAAAAAAAAAAAAAGAAGAGAAGAAGAAGAAGAAGAAGAAAAAAGGAATACATTAATGATCCTCCAATTTCTAACTGTGGCATTCTAGTTCTCCCCTCTTTTGTTTCTTAACAGCCTGTCATATTTAATCCCTCTACTTGGTATTCACAAAGTAATATTCTCCATCACTCCAACCTTTCCTTTCTGCTCCAGAACACTGCTAAGAAGATAGGTATATCCACAACATTAAGAAATCTGTTACTTTCTAAAAAAGAAATTATTACTATAGTAACCTAGCAGATCACAAAACCTATATGAAGTTCACAAGCATAAATGTTTTGTCTGTATTATCTTTTTTCCAGTAAGTGAAAACGGTGAGATCCACCAAAAAAAAAATCTTTCAAATATTCAACTTTAAAAAAGTCAAATTCCTTTCACCTACTATACAGATTGATCACAAATATTATCCTAAAAAAGACCCTGAAGAAATGAGAGCTTTGCTCTGGACACAACACAAATGTTTAATTGCCAATGAAGATTGAGATATTGTATATAATTTCATTTGAAGCCTTCTATATACAGACCTCTGGGAAGTCCCGGAGAACTTCAGACATCTCATTTCCTCTTTCACCACATCCTACATAAATGATCACATCGCTATTGGAATACTTGGACAAAGACTGTGATATCACTGTCTTTCCACAGCCAAAAGCCCCAGGGATTGCAGTAGTTCCTCCCTGTACACACCTAAACAAAGACAATAAAGTATGGATTACTCTACGTGCTAAGAAATACCATAGTCCCTCCCCCACAGTATAACCCCTGCTTTCACTGTATTTGATGTAGGTATAATTTGTGGAGGAGAAGGGGAAAAACAACTCGTTTAAAAAAGGATACAGGTGGACCTGTTGCAACAATGAGAAGTACAAGTTGTCATGTCAAAAATGAACTTTACAACTTGGGGGGGGGAGGATTGAGTGGGGGGGGGAGATGGGAAGGGATGGGAAGGGTAAACAAAGGAGGAGGCTACAATGCTTGATAAGAACCGTACTCACTATCTTGCCCTACATTTGTAACCCCTCTGTACAGTATTTTCACAATAAAAAAAAAGAAATACCATAGTAAGTAGGTGACACACACACACGCGCGCGCACACACACACACACAGTGCTAAGAAATATCATAGTAAGTGACACACATCACATACACACACACACACAGTGCTAAGAAATACCATAGTAAGTAGGTAAGTCACACACACACACACACACACACACACAGAGAAAACAAAAACTACTCTACTACTTGATCCAGCTCTGACCCTACTCCAAAATATTTTTATCTTTACATACACACACACAATACATATAGACATAGATATAGTAATTACCTCCTTTTTTGTGCTTTAACAGTGTATGTTTTTACTAGTAGTAATTGTCTCTATCATCTACTATAGTTAAAAAATGAAAGTATATCCCATAAGGCACTAAGAGGGGTATGAAAAATAATAAGGTACATAAAATAGTACTAATGACATTCTGAATGCTTAAATAAATTAGTTTAGCCAGGCGCCAGTGGCTCACACCTGTAATCCCAGCTACTCCTGAGCTGAGTTCTGAGGATTATGGTTCAAAGCCAGCCCGGGCAGGCTGGTTATCTCCAATTAACTACCAGAAAACTGGAAGTGGCTCAAGTGGTAGAGCAATTGCCTCGAACTGAAGAGCTGAGTGACAATGCCCAGGCCCAGAGTTTAAGTCCCCGCCCTCCCCCCCCACCCAGCTCTCCCCCCAAAAAAAAGTTCATGAAAAGACAACAGAGGAATCAAAAAATTTTAAATAAGAATAACTTTTGAAATTTGTCTCCTTGTAAGTTTATGCTTTGGCTGTTTAAATCAAGCCCTATTAAACTATAAAAATTTAGCAAGCAGAGTTTTATTATGGTGTTAACTCATTTCCTTTATCTATTCATTACTATTCACTAAGACTAAAACCCGTGCTTGGAAGAACCAAAACTCAGCCAATTAGTTACGCTTCTTTATTTTCAAAGATCAAATTCCAATGGGATAAACTAATGAAATGGAGTTGGGATTATGGTAGCATTTAGCAGCTACTTTCAAACTTTCTAAAAAGTTGCAGTGGAAAATGAAATACTGTTTAGGGAAGAAAAAAGTGGACAACTGATCCAAGTGTGTTGAGAAAGGATGAGCCTTGGCAAGAGAAATGGAATTTAAAGCTAAACAAAGGGTCTGTAATTTTTTTATTATAAAAATCATAGGAGCCGGGCACTGGTGGTGGCTCACGCCTGTAATCCTAGCTACTCAGGAGGCTGAGATCTGAGGATCATGGCTCAAAGCCAGCCTGGCAGTAAAGTTCCCATGAGACTTACTTTTTTCCTCACTTTTTTTTTTTTAAATTGTCAAGGTGATGTACAATGGGGTTATAGGTACATAGGTAAGGTAATAAGTACATTTCTGGTCAAACTGGTTACCCCTTCCTTCATTTTTCTCCTAACCCCCACCCCCTCTGCACCATGAGACTCTTATCTCCAATTAACCATTCAAAAACAGGAAAGGGTGCTGTGGTTCAATTGGGAGAGCACTAGCCTTGAGCTCAGGGACAATGCCCAGGCCCTGAGTTCAAAGTCCCACAATCAACCAAAACAAAAAATCACAGGAAATTTGCATTCTTAATCACAATAATAATTTTTCAATATAAAGTGAATATATGCATTAAAATGTTTTTATCTCCAAAACTTTCAATGTGTTTACGTGTAGATTTATAGGCACATTCTAGCTACCACAAATGTTTCTCTGGGTCTGGCTTACTTTGCTTAACATAATTTATTGAAATGAACTACATGAAATGGAAACAAGGTTTTTCTTTTGTTGCTGTTTTTGCTCTTTTTTTTGGGGGGGGTCCAGTTGTGGGGTCTGAACTCTGGGCCTGGGCACTGTCCCTCAGCTCTTCAGCTCAAGGCTAGCACTCTACCACTTGAGCCACAGCACCACTTCTGGCTTTTTTCTTTTTGCTTATGTGGTGCTGAGGAATCGAACCCAGGGCCTCAGGCATGCACGGCAAGCGCTCTACCACTGAGCCACTTCCCAGCCCCGTTGTTTTTGCTCTATGTGTTTGTTCATTTATCTGTCTTTGGAAAGGTAAGCAGTGGGGGGGCATAGAAATGGTAGGGGGCAAATACAGCAGGGGTACTCACTAGATACTATGTTGAAAATTAGAGGAAGGGAAGGGTTGACATTGTTCAAAAAGAGATGTACTCTTTATCTGACATATAACTGTAACCTCTCTGTTCATCACCTTCACAGTAACAATTTAAAATGCATTAAAAAAATGGAGAAGAGCACACTATAACTTAAGACTGTTGGCAGCATAGACTAGTTGATATTAGGAATTACCCATTTGTAGTAATGCAAACTACGAATTCTAGGACAAGTTAAGAAAGATAGTTCTGGAAATGTTATTTTATAAAGTTTTAGAAATAATGCTTTCTGGGCTGAGAAGGTGGCTCAGTGGTAGAGCGCTTGCCTTGCATGCATGAGGCCCTGGGTTCGATTCCTCAGCACCACATAAACAAAAAAAATAAAAGCTGGAAGTGGCGCTGTGGCTCAAGTGGTAGAGCGCTAGCCTTGAGCTGACGAGCTGAGGGACAGCGCCCAGGGCCAGAGTTCAGGCCCCATGACCGGACCCAAAAATAAATAAATAAATAAAATAGAAATAATGCTTTCTGTTTACCTCTGTGGGGAAGGGCTTTTTTTTAAAGCAACAAATAAAGGCATTTTACTAATTTACTATTATTATCCAGATGTAACTTATTTTACCACTAAATGCATAAAACTTATACCTATAAAGATAATGAAACAATAAACACATAAAATAACAGGGAAAACTCCCAAGAAGCATATCAAACTTACGGGAAAAGGGCATCAAGGACTCTCTGGCCAGTCAGCAAAGGATGATTGGCCGGCAGCTTCTCAGTGACAGGCCGAACCTGACGGACAGGCCATACTTGGACCATACTGAACTTCTCCTTCACATCTTCAAACTCAAGCTCCAAGACAACATCCTACAACATCATAGCAAGATTTTAAGTATGGTTGAATTTGTTATTATTTCTTCCTCCAAAATTTAATTAACCTCAGATCTCTTGGGGATATATGAACAATAAATGAACAATACAGTTTTTCATGTGAATATGTATAGTCCTACTTTAAAAAAAAATCAAGTGAGCTGGATGCACACCTAGAGTCCTAGTTACTCATCAGGAGGCTGAGATATGAAGATTAAGATTAAAGCAGGAAAGTCCTTGAGAATTAATCTTCAACTAACAAAAGTTCTGGACTGGAAGAGTTGCTCAAATTGTAGAGCACTATCTATAGCAAGAAAAGTAAGCAAGAGCATACAATTCTCAGCTCAAGAGCTGGTACTAGCACCCACACAAATTAGTAGGCTATTTTATAATATTTAAACCAAATATTTACCAAAGCAAAAAGGTAAAAATATGATACCATTTGAATTCACTAAGCGCACTACTCACAACTCCAAAGTTCAAGGCTCCCTCTAAAAATCTGCATGAATTTTAATTGCATTATATACTTATGTAAATATGTTACTCAAAAGCCATATATCAAATATCTGTTTAGGAAACTGTGAAACTAGTACATTTAAACAGGGCAACTGTGGGGAATAAAATAAAAATGATCCTTACAGAGGCATCATAATGCCCAGCTGGAGCAATGTACGTGACAGTTCCTCTGTTTCTTGGAGGTAACATAATTTTGTGTTTGATAAGTGAGTTCTCATCAACAAATCCATAAATATCTCCACCAGTGATATGACTTCCAACCTAGAGGATAAATACATTTACTGTTTAATGTTCAATAAACATCAGATAGACTCACCTATTTCCACATCGTAAATCATTGTCATTACAAAATGCTAGTTCTATAAACACACTAATGCATTTAAGCAAAATTTAAATTGTGCTTTTGAAGTCTATTTTATTTGAACCAAGAGTATAAAATAATTCACTTAACACTGATTTCACATTCTTTCAACAGCTTTAGAAATTTGTGGTGACAGACATACCCGTAGATTCTTGCTGGGTGTAAATTCCCATTTGATATCTCTGCTAAGAGCAGAAACATTTACTCCTCTAGGAATGTAGATACTTTGGGTCTGACTACTGATATCCGACAAAGGTCTTTGAATACCATCAAAAATGGCTCCCATAATTCCAGGACCAAGCTCTACTGACAGAGGTTTACCAGTGCGGAGTACAGGATCTCCAACAGACACACCAGCTAGAAACAGTAGTTGAGGAAAATTTACAATAGAGTTTGAAGATATTGTACTACTAACAGGAAATAAAAGTTTAAAATGGGAATGACACTTAACAGAATTTAACATTTAACAGAAATTTCTAAGCCTCAGTTCATAGCACCTTTAAAATTTTAGTAATATTTTCACAATGTCCTAAGACAAGATATGACTAATAATTTTATTAAAGTTATACCTAAACAATATATACTCTAACAACTGAATAATCAAAAAAACAGAAAAAAATGTATAAGCTAAAACACAAAAGGGTATTAATTTTTGTTCTAAATACTACATTTTGTATGAACAGAAAAATGTATATGCCTTATTGGACACTGTGTAACATTCAAACCTTACAATCAGATTGAAAACCCATTCCACAATGATTTTCACCTATTGGCTTTTTAGCAACCACCAAAATGCAGCTTTACAAAGATAAGACACCACTGTAATGAAACTGCTCATTATGTTAACCTAGACTTTTACGTAGCGTCTAACAAGCTATCTAATAAACCTAGGCTGACCTCAAAAATTTCAAACATCCTCAGCACCATATGAGTTTGCTGTTGGTTACCCAGAGTGCCTTTTCACACTCTTGGAACTCCAGAGCTAAAAATAGAGGATCAAGCCTCTCAATAGCCACCATTTCCAACTTACTACTGAAGAATTCCAAGACCCTAAAAAATGAAAGTAGTATCTGTACAAACAAAAGCTTAAGAAACAAGGAAGTACCTTTAAAAAGCAAAAGAATATAACCTTCTAATAAACATGGTGAATCCATTATATTCTCCAGTATTTGTTGAAGTGAAATCAGTACAACTATTTTTGAGAGCAATTTAATAATATCAAAATTAAAAATGAATACAATTTTACCTAGGAATAAAACATCTATGAATTCAAATCAATTACACTGCAACACTGTTAATAACAGCAAACAATTATATTAATCAAAATTTCTATTAAGAGATTAATTATTATATAGTAGACCATATTATATATGGTCTACTATATAAAGAAAAAAAGAACTTTGAGGAATTGCTCTAGAAAAGATACCTGATATTGATTATGAAAATTTTAAATCTACAATATTTTAAAGAACTTTTCAGTGAACACTCCTATTCTACTGTCTGATTTTGCCAGTAAAATTTTACAATATTTGATCACTTTATCTACCCATCTTCTGAAATAGTTGGGTTTATTTTTGTTTTGTTTTTTGGTCATGGGGCTTGGACTCTGGGCCTGGGCACTGTCCCTCAGCTCTCCAGCTCAAGGCTAGCCCTCAAACACTTGCGCCATAGCACCATTTCCAGTTTTCTGGTTGTTAAGTGGAGATAAGAATCTCATGGACCTTTCTTCTGGGGCTGGCTTTGAACCGTGATCCTCAGATCTCAGCCTCCTGAGTAGCTAGGATTACAGGCATGAACCACCAGTACTCGGCCAAAAGGTTTTTTTTTTTTGGTCGGTCGTTGGGCTTGAATTGTGGGCTTGGGTGCTGTCCCTGTGCTCTTCAGCTCAAGGCAAGTGCTCTAACACTTGAGCTACAGTGCCACTTCCAGTTTTCTAGTGGTTTATTGGAGATAAGAGTCTCATGGACTTTCCTGCCGGGGCTGGCTTTGAACAGCGATCCTCAGATCTCAGCCTCCTGAGTAGCTCGGATTACAGACATGAGCCACCAGTGCCCGGCTTGGGTTGTTTACTATTTTTTTGGGGTACGGTCATAAGGCCTAACTCTGGGCCTGGGCACTGACCCTCAGCTCTTCAGCTCAAGGCTAGCGCTCTACCACTTGAGCTACAGCGCCACTTCTGGCTTTTTTCTTTTTTGCTTATGTGGTGCTGAGGAATCGAACCCAGGACCTCATGCATGCAAGGCAAGTGCTCCACCACTGAGCCACCTTCCCAGCCCCCTGAAATAGGTTTAAGTGGAAAAAAAAGAACAAATCTTGTGGGGAGAGAATATGTAGCTACAGTAATACAGTTTAAAAGCTAGAAAGATCATAATTAAAAGGAAATGAAAAAAGTGGCTGTGTGTGTGTGTGTGTGTGTGTGTGAGAGAGAGAGAGAGAGAGAGAGAGAGAGACAGAGAACTGGTCAGAGAAGACAATAAAGGTAGAGAGGATTGCTGTTATATATGTTTTCATTTATTTCAAATCTTCAAATCATAGATTAAAAATGGGCTAGAGTGTATCTCAGGGGTAGAGTGTATAGCCCTGGTTCAATCACTAGTATTTCTGAAAACAAAAATAAAAGGTAAATGCAATATAGATTAAATAGAAAGTAAATGAAATAAAGTTAAATAGTAGAAAAAAATCCTTTCTGTTTAACATTATTTCACGCCTATAAAGATGCTGGGATTTTGGTTTATTGTTTTTGTCTTTTTAAATTTCCTTGTTGTTTCTTTATTGGCAGTATTGGAGTTTGAACTCAAAGTCTCTCAGCTGAGTGCTCTATCATGTCCTTAGCCCTTATTTATTTATTTTTAGACAATTTCATTTTAGCATCCAGTATTAATACAGGAGAAACAACTGTAACTATGCTGTTTTATTTTTTCAATTTTACTATCTATTTTTAGTTTTCTTGTGGTGCTAGAGATCTAGAGCCTGTACAAGCCAGACAAGTGTTCTACCACTGAGCTATATCCTCAGTCCAAGAATACATTTAAGAATGGCAAAAAAGGGTTGCAAAACAAAACCTGAATACCCAAAGAATCAATACTGATCTTGAAAAGTAAAAACATATACATGAATGTCCAAAAAAGAGATTCTTCTTCATAAGGTTTAACTCTTACCTCTATTTTTCACAGAAAATTAAAAATAAGTATTATGTTTAAAATACAATACTCTGGTAAAGAAACAATAAGGATTTCCTACTGCTAAAGCTGTAATATAGTATATCATCTGATGCTACTTAGTAGAAAAGAGGACTACTGATTGATTAACTATAACTTTATTAAACAGAAACCATGATTGGGGAATTTTTTTGGGGGTGCGGGTCCGGTCATGGGGCCTGAACTCTGGGCCTGGGCGCTGTCCCTCAGCTCTTCAGCTCAAGGCTAGCGCTCTACCACTTAAGCCACAGCGCCACTTCTGGCTTTTTTCTTTTTTGCTTATGTGGTGCTGAGGAATCGAACCCAGGGCCTCATGCATGCAAGGCAAGCGCTCTACCACTGAGCCACCTTCCCAGCCCATGATTGAGGAATTTTAAATACACAAATCAACAGATCTTTAATTTGTCTTCTACAATATGCAACTTTCTGGGGAAAAAAAAATCAATTGGATCCCCCTGAAGTTTATAAACCATTGAAACATTAAAAACAATAGAAATTAAGAGCATCATACTAATTTAGTAAAATGATAGTACCACTTCTGAATGTTTTCCTCCTTTCCTTTAATATATCCCTGTATAAATCATATCTTTTCCATGACAGCAATATTTCATGCTTCTATTATCATTGGGTAGTGCTGCTTCTACCTTTGGTTTAAAACTCCTTAATTTTATCACACTGAAAGTGGCAGGAAATGTTACAACAAAAGGATACATGTTTCTTCATACACTTGAATAGTAGCCATGTCACCTTCCAGTCGAATAATCTCTCCAACCAACTCACTGTGGCCCACTCTCACTAGCTCATACATGGCTGCACCTGCCATGTTACAGGCTGTAACCACTGGAGAGAAAAAAGAATTTGGATGATGTAAGACTCTCCCATTTGATGAATAATCACAGATAATTTTAAATCCCAATAAATCAAAAAGCTTGCCATTCATGTAGACATAAGATGAAATTCCTACTATGAAAATATTCTTATAGTTTTACATGAATATGTGTTCTTATTATGATATAAAGAGGTAAATTTGTTAGGCTATGGGTTACTAATATAAAGGAAACAATTTTCGAATGTTTGAAGTTCTATATGCAAACTCTGCTAATATTGGGGTACATTTTGATCAATTCAGGCTACTATAATACATGCAGTAACCGATTTTGGAACAATAAAAAGACTATTAAATTTGAATAAAAGTTTTAGAATGACACACAACCAGTTGCTATGTTATAACCATTGCCCTTGACACGTAATATTTAAAAGCAGTACCATTACTTTCTAATATTTTAAGTCTGTGGTTCCTAAATGGGATATGGACTTTTTGATAAACTACTGATAGCTTCTAGTATCACAGAAAAACTCCAACATGCATCTAAACACTTTTTTAAAATTTAATATTTTACTATTATTATAAAAGGTGATGTACAAAAGGATTACAGTTATGTAAGTCAGGTAAAGAGCACATGTCTTTTTAGACATTGTCACTCCTTCCCTCACTCTCTCCCAGAAAAAGACTTCATTAAATCACAGAACACTTATGACTGGTCACCACCACTATACAAAATCCCAGTTAAGGATCTCTACTTCTGCTGGGCTCACACTTGTAATCCTAAAATACTCAGGTGGCAAAGATCAGAGGATTGTGATTTAAGGCTAGTCTGGGCAGAAAAACTTCACGAGACCCCATTTCAGCCAATAAAAAGCTGGGCATACTGGCATATACCATCTGTCACCTCAGCTATATGGGAAACGTAAGTAGGAGAATCATGGTCTAGACAAGTCTTTGTGTAAAGGCCAGGCCCTATTTGGAAAAAACAAACAGCTCTAAAACAAACAAGCTGGAGATGTAACTTAAATGGTATAGCACCTACCTGGCAAAATGAGTTCGAACAAACCAAGAGTTAAACATAAAAAGAATTACTATTTCTTATAAGTACTGAGCCAGATTTAGATCTTACAAGCTTATTATTATGCTGTTAAATAAGCAAAAATTAATTTTCTGAAAAGGAAGGAAGACTACTACATTGTTGCAAATGAAAGAATAATTCACTGGCAAGACAGAGGCAATATTTCAGTACAAACTACTAAATTATCAATGCTTAAATCAACTGTATTAGGAAAATTGAAAATTTATTTCATAAGTTCTATTACATTTAGTATATAATTAAGTTACATTGAAACATAACAGAATTAAATTTAAAAGGTTGTTCTTTTTCTCTAAAAGTTCTTGTTTTCAGTTTGTCTGTCCTAAAGACATTAATGGTATTTTGAGGGGAAAACAGTTCCTCTGACTGACATAAGAAATTGAAAACAGCAGAGTACTAGTTGTTCATGCTTGTAACTCTAGCTCTCACAAGGCTGAAATCTGAAGAACACTGTTTAAAGCCAGCCCAGAAAAAAAAGTCTGTGAATCAACATCTCCACTTAACTAGCAAAAATTTGTAGAGTAGCCAGATGAGTAATAATTTTATTGTTACCATTTCAGGTAATGTATACTCATATTTTTAATAAGATACACAGGCAAAGCATTAAAAACCAATGATACTAACACAAGCAGGACATCAAAAATAGCATTTAAATAATTATCAAATTTACATGATCAATGTTAGATGATATCTTATGATAGAGGTATTATATTCCAATCCTATAGCTACGATACAATCTTTTAAGAACAAACAAAATTTATATAGGTAGACAGGAATTTATGTTATTTCTACTTAAAATACCTAGAAAAGACATTAATCAAATCAGGAATCCTTACTTTTGAGATGAATATATATTACTTACCAGGTCCTGAGACCCCATGCACATAACCAAATGCACTTTCATTGTCTTCATCAAGTATTTTCGGTAGCTTAGAGAAATCCATCATGTTGATTCACCTCTGGCAAAGAAAAAAAAATTGCTATTACAAACCTTAAAACAAAAGAACTAGGGGCTGTGAAGGTGGCTCAGTGGTAGAGCACTTGCCTTGCATGCCTGAGGCCCTGGGTTCGATTCCTCAGCACCACACAAGCAAAAAGAAAAAAGCCGGAAGTGGCGCTGTGGCTCAAGTGGTAGAGCGCTAGCCTTGAGCTGAAGAGCTGAGGGACAGCGCCGAGGCCCAGAGTTCAGGCCCCCTGACCGGACCCCCAAAAAAAACAAACAAAAAAAACAAAAGAACTAATATAGGTGGCTAACTCTCATCTTTCAGGTACTTTTGAGCTAATACTCCTTGACAACATCTTAACATAAAATATCAAATAAAACTGTTACAATTCAGTTAAAAATAACCGCATTCCTGGATGCTCTGTGGTTATATATTTTAATAATAAAATTATATCTACATGTTTCATATTCCATAGGGAATGTCAAGGAGTTCTGCAGAAATTACAAAATCTTTCCAATGACTTATTCCAGTCCTAAAATGCCCTCTGTGTAACTTCCACTACAACAATTATTAATTATTCCACATAGCTTCACTCTTTCTAGAGTGTTCTAGCTGAATACATCCTCCAGGTCTCTATTCAAGGGTCACTATCTTCATAGTCTGCTCTGCCTCTCCAATTAAATTTGTGACACCTACATCCTCCGTGGTTATTTTTTATCATTGCATTTTTCACAATGTAAAATATATATATTTATATATATATACATATATATGGTATATATGCCACCGATACCTGACCATGCATGTATATTCTATCTTGGGCTTTTTTTTTTTCTTTTGGGTCTGGTCGTGAGGCCTGAACTCTGGGCCTGGGCGCTGTCCCTCAGCTCTTCAGCTCAAGGCTAGCGCTTTACCACTTGAGCCACAGCGCCACTTCCGCCTTTTTTCTTTTTGCTTATGTGGTGCTGAGGAATCAAACCCAGGGCCTCATGCATGCAAGGCAAGTGCTCTACCACTGAGCCACTGAGCCTTCCCAGTCCCGCTATCTTGGGCTTTTGACTAAGATAAAATGTGAATTTATCTAGGAGTATTTTTCCTTTTTTAGTAGAATACAGAACAATTAAAAAAAATTCACTTCGGTTCTCACCTGTAATCCTAGCTACTCAGAGGGCCGAGAGCTGAGGATTTGGTTCAAAGCCAACCTGGGCAGGAAAATCTGTAAGACTCTTATCTCTGATTAACCACCAGAAAACTGGAAGTGGCACTGTGAATCAAGTGGTAGAGTGGTAGCCTTGAGCTGAAGGGCTGAGGTACAAAGCCCGGGCCCAGAGCTCAAGCCCCATGACTGAAAAAGAAAAATTCACTTCAACCTCTAACCTATAGCTATACAATCTGAAAAACTCAATGAACTATGCATATTCAAACAAAATCAGTGACAAATCTGAAAAGGCAGAGTACAGAGGAATTTTAGGGCAGTGAAGTCATATGATATTATAATGAGTGAATACACACCATTACACATTTCCCTAAGCACACAGGATACATAAGAGTGAACTCTAACACAAAGTATAGACTTCAGATAATATGAGGTATCAGGTATATTACTCTGTTGGACAATACTGGTAAAGGAGAAGGCTATCCTGTGTTTGGCAAGGAATATATGTAAAATCTCTGTACCTTCTATTTAATATTGCTGTTAACCTAAAACTGCTTGAAAATAAAGCCTTTTAATTTAGGTTACAGTCAAGAGTGAAAACAAAGATTAAAACCACACAGAGAAATGGGAAGTCTTGTAACTAGGCAGATATGAGAGGGGACAGAAAAAATGCCAATAACTTATTGATAGTATTGGTGGTAAACAGAGACTAGCAGCAGGTTGATTGCTATTCATAAAGCTGAAGGTAGGGTTCAAGTAGTTGGAAATAATAAAACTGAATTAGAAAAAAAAAGGCCATGTACCAACCATCCATGTTTCAATAAACATTTTGTCTGTCTCAGTAAAAAAACTCAAAGATCAATAGTCAAGAAAAGAAGGGAAAATTAGCTTATTAAGATTTTTGACTTCCTCAAGATGCAGAAGCCATTCAGTAAAAGCAGGGATGAACCGAAAAAGACATAAATACCAAGACATAAAACAGGATTTTCTAGAAACTACAAAATTATAGAGAGAAAATAAATCCTTTCTGAAAAACAAACTAAAAGCAAAAGAATTGAAGGAATGACTTAAGTAATGGAATAATCCAAGAAGCAAGTTCAAGGCAGCTTTGGGTTCAATCCCTAATACTACCACTTAAAAAAAAAAAACAGTCCAGAACAATCAAAGATTTTCTTTGACATCAAAGAATCACTTGACATTCAATCAGACTAACTTCCTCCCTAAAGACAGTATTTCCTCTATAGCATTCATGACACATGGTCATCTGTGGAAGCAGCATGAGATCTTGAGTCAGCAGACTTGGGATCATATTCTAGTTCCATTAATAACATGTTGCAAAGGAAAACTTGGACAAATCAAAGTCTCATTATTTTAATGTACCTTAAATCTCAAGTCTTGTTTCTTCGATCTTTAATATCTTTATTTTTGTTGTTTGTGATTAAATCACAAACAAATCAGCATCTCAATTTTTATTTATTTAATTTTATTTTAATTTTTTTTTGTTGGTCCTGGGGCTTCAACTCTGGGCTTGGGCGTTGTCCCTCAGCTCTTCAGCTCAAGGCGAGCGCTCTACCACTTGAGCCACAGCGCCACTTCCAGCATCTCAATTTTTAAAAAGTCATTTACTCTGAGGAGTTTTGCCTCTCTAAGACAAGCTAAAGGCATTTCCTGGCCACTATTTTTTTTAATGGAGCAATAAAAATAATTAATCTAATTGTTGTCTAAGTACTGCTAAGACAACACTTGTCTGAAAAGTACCACTTCTTGTGGATGCTTTTTATTAGAGAGAAAGAGACCAAAGTTTTGAGTCAGATAGGTTGACTTTGAATTTGTAACTGTTGGCCTTCAGCAAATGAAATTCTGTCACTGCTTTGAGTCTTAGTTTCATCAGAAAAATCTAATAGCAGCCAGGCACTGGTGGCTCATGCGTGAATCCTAGCTACTCAAGAGGCTGAGATCTGAGGATCATGGTTTAAAGTCAGCCTGGGCAGGAAAGTCTGTGAGACTCTTATCTCCAATAATCTACCAGAAAACCAGAAGTGGTACTGTGGCTCAAGTGTTAGAGCCCTAACCTTGAGCTGAAGAGCTGAGGGACAGCGCCCAGGCCCAGAGTTCAAGCCCCACAACCAACAAAAAAAGAAAAAGAAAAATCTAATAGTGTTGTGGTGAAACACCTAATAATATGCCTAACACAAAATGTCAGTGACTAACAAGCTAATTCTACGAATACAAGATTGCCTATTTTCTAAATTAGCATCTATCTGAGCCAAATCTAATGATTTAGCCATGATGTATATTGTATATTTTACCATACTTTTATTTTCTAAATCCAAAAGGATTTTTAGGCATCAATGATATTTCTGCTGCTATATGGGTAGAAAAATCAATGGTTAGTCCTTCTTCCAATTATCTTCTGACATACAAAAACCAGGTAGCTAAAATCAGGTGAGATGTGTGTTCTTCTAGAACAGTACAGTACAATTTAGAATAATGCAGAGCAAAGTTATCTAATCTAGACTAGGGCAGGATGAGTGTGACTGAAAGGAAGTTAAACTAAAACTAAAAAGATAAATGAGGATGCATTAGATCATGTAGCAAAGCATTCCAAAAGACAGTTCAAGTCTCCTGGGTTCAGGAAGGTGGTGCAAAGAATTCTTGAGGTAAAAATGGTGCCTGTTTTTTTTTTTTTTTTTAACATATTTATGTACCTTCTCTTTAAAACCAAACACTTCAAGTGTACGAGCAATCATTAATGGAAATTAAATGGGTTTGTTCATGATTAACTGTCTCGTGGGCTTCTCAGTCAGCCGACTATGGAAATTTTGAAGAACCTACTTTTTTTAACTTTATAATTTTTAGGCATATATTACTTAATTTATGCTAAAACTAGCAAGAATTAGGAACAGTGACATAAAACTAGTAAGAGAATCAAGAGCCTTAGTGATCATTCAAAACTTTACCTAGAGATGATTTTATCAGACCCCAAACCTTTTTCATGGGAGTGGATGTGTGGCTCAGGCTGTAGAATGCCACCAAACGAGCAAAAGTGACAGATACCGAGTTTGGTCTCAGATTAAAAAAGAAAAGAAAAATGAAAAAAATTTTTCCTCTGATTAATATTCTCAAATAGAAAATCAAGATGATTGTTTTGGTGGTGTTGGAGAGAAAATATGGCATTTAGCTTTATTATCTAGTTCATTGTAGAGAAGTGGTTGCAAATATACCTCAAAACAGTTCTCACATCTTTCAAAACATACATATCAATATAATTATTGAAAACATGTTTCCTTTTTTGTGTGTGGAGTAATGAATAGGGTTTGAACTCAGCACCTATGTTTGCTCGACAGGTGTTCTATTATTTGTGCTACACCATCACCCCAATTTTGCTTTTTATTTTTCCAGTGGAGTCCCATGTCTTTGCCCACGCTCATCAACAGACTGTAATTCTCCCACCTACTGCCTTCTAAGTAGGCGGCAACACAGGCACCAAGCCATCATGCCTGGCACTTTGGTTGGGATGGATGGGGTGTCCTTACTAACTACAAATCTCTGCCTTTTTGAGTCTCTGACATTACAGGCATAAGCCACCATGCCAGAGCTATCAAAAAATCTGTTTTGAAAGCATAAAATTCTAAGCACTGTTGTCCATTCTGATGCCTTAATATATTTACATTTTAACCTCTACTACCATAACAGACTTTTACACATGCTGTGCTCATGCCTAAAATGTTCATTCATTCCTCACATCTCTCCAGGCTTTATTTCTATTTATTGTGTCTCTGTCCAAATGTTCCAGTCCCAAGTTGCATTCCCCAAAACCCGTTTCCCTCTTCTCATTGTCATTCTCAGTTCACAGCCC